GACCCCCCCCGCCCGCCCGCCAGCCCCGGCATGGAGCGGGGTGGCCTGGGGCTGGCCAGCGACCGGAGCCGTGCAACCCCTGGCAGAGGTGAGCCCCCCCCCCCCCCGGCCCCCCCCCGCGTGCCCCGCGGGGGGGGGGGGGCACAGCCCCGCCATCCCTCCCCCCCGGCCCCCCTGAGCCGCGCTTCTCCCCGCAGGGCGAGTCACCAAGACGAAGGATGGGCACGAGGTGAGGTCCTGCAAAGTGGCGGACAAGACGGGCAGCATCACCATCTCCGTGTGGGACGAGATCGGCGGCCTCATCCAGCCGGGGGACATCATCCGTCTGACCAAAGGGTGCGTATGGGCCTCCGCCGCCCCGCTCCCCGGCCCGGCCGAGCGCTGCCTGCGCTCCGGGGCAGCGCCGGGTCGGAGGGAGCCCTTTGTCACCGAGGCGAAGGTGCGGGGTTGTGAGCAGGCTCGGCCGCCTCTTGAGGGGCACGGATGACACAGCTCGCCCCGCTTTGGACTGGCTCCTTGTTACCGGGGCAGCGCCCTGAGACCACTTGCCAAATTAAAACCTTCTCATCCACCCAGAACATGCCTAGCATGAGCATACAATCTAGTCGATGGCTAGGAAGGGCTTGTATTTTTAATGAGGAGGTGGTGTTTAAGAGACTTGGTTTGGCTTTAAAAAAAGCTCCTTAGGAAAATACTTCTTTTTGGGGGGGAGGGGGGAAATGCACCAGCCGGTCCTGGTCTGTAAATCAAGCGGGGAAGTCAAAAGGATGTTCTTATTTTTACAGCCAATTCTTTACTCTAGCAGTCAGCTCCTTAAGGAAAGGAGGGAATGATTAATGTCTCTCATGCAGAAAAGTTGCTTTTCATTGCAGTGGGTTTAATGGAAATGACAGGCAGGGAAGGAGAAGCTTTTCAAATTCACTATAAAAATTCATACTAGGGCTACACTGTAGAGCATGTTAGTTTGGTTAGATGCAGTTCATTTATCTCAGAGCTGGTTTAATTTAAAAAAAAAAAAACCACCTTATGTTTGTGAGAAAGGAATGCTAGTTTCAATTTGAAAATCCTTTTCCATGTCACTTAAATTGTCAGTAGCAAAGTGATAGTCACTTTCATTTGAGTTCTTTATGCCAGTGAGGTTACACTTAGAAATCTATTACACTGATCCTTTGGCCTACAGCACTCCAGGAGATGGTGGAACTACAGTGTGTGTAAGGTCCTTCTAATTTGTTTTTATGAAAAAGTATGTAAAAGGTTACTTAGTGGAGCTGCTAACTGAGCTGCTCTTAAGTTGTTCATCTGAGCGAAGCTCTTGGTTTTGGAGTGAAATCGGATGACCCTTGCCACCAAAACTACAGCTGCTTCCTCCTATGCAAATGTCCTTTTACACGAAATAGGCTGAGTCCTCAGCAGAGGTGGTTCTGGGGAAGCCTGCTTGCGTGGAGAGCACGTGGAGTGCTGGGGCGCTGAGATGGGTGGAACTAAACCAGAGCTCTGGGCCAGCACAAAGCCCTGTGTGTAGATGACACTGAAACAAATTAATAGTGATACTGTTCAGCACTGTTACTGCACTCTGCTTTGTGACTGGCTTACTGTAGCTGCTCTGGTGTTTCAGTGCAACAAGTGGGAGGGTCATTGCATCCCTTCATGTCAAAAAGTGAGTTTGGCTTGTATGGATTAAATTTATGAATTGATATCACTATTCCTAGTGGATGGCTAAGTCATGCCTTCATTTACGTGAATTGCATGTTCACTTAGGACTGTGTAGTGAGTGAAATGGCAAAAGCTAAATACGTTCTGGTTTGCCTCTCATATTAAGAAAAATGCCCTCATGCTGGCATACAAGGTTCTCCAAACACAGCTTTATACTTAACTCAAATAGGATTAATTTGAGTGTGTGATGTTGCCATTGCAAGGCAGGTAAATTTCAGCTCTATAGGCTAATCTGACTTTTCAGTGCAGGATGCTCACTTAGAAGCACAAAAGCTTAGGCCCCACATGTAAATGTGTCCTTTTTTTTCTGCTGAATTTCAAGCTGTAGATGCATTCCTCTGCAAACGCAGACACTGTTGCTGATTTTTGTCATTGGCTGATGAACTCATTTACAGGAAGCTGCTGCAGTTTATTTCTAAATTCAAAGTTAGCTCTGGAGTTTAGTGCTTTATGGCCAGCTCTTTCTGAGACAAAAACAAATGCTTGCATACGTGGAATAACTTTGTGCTGGGGGTTATCAGTCCCATGATTTGCTGGGTCTTGTCCTAGTAAATGTATGTTTGACTTACATTTATTATTTGGTAGCTCTTTTCCTTTGTGCTCTGCCACAAGACTGTCCAACCAGCTGGTTATTAAAGGTTAAGCACAGAGGGAATCTTTAAAGTGAAAGATAGCATTATGAAGTGAAGAGCATTAATCCTGCTTCTGGATGGAAAACTCCCAAGACAGGCACCATAACTGTAGATACTATGCTTTACTGCTCGTGCTGAAGTACAGAGAAGGTTATTGTCGCATTGGCATTATGGTCCTCTTCTGCTGATCTGGGTCCTCCCTGCTGCCTCTCTTCGAGGCTCTGTGTGTAGCCAGATGGCTCCCAGTCTCAGCAGGTAAGGCAAAGGGCAAGAGGAAGGTTTGTTATCTATGTTCCAGAGATAGACCGGAGCATAAGGAAGTCGTGACTTGTCCAGATTATTTGTCACTCCTGAGTGTGCAATTGCTGGGGCTCCCTATTCCTTTGCTAGAAGACACCCATATTCCTGTTAACTCCCTTGGGCTGCACCTAGGTTTCTGGTCTGCATTTTCATTATTTTCTTCACATACATGATGCCCCTCACTGAAAGGAACAATTATACAGAAAGCTTTGCATAACTCAAATTCCAGTGCCTGAAGTCAAGTGCCACTATAAAGACTAGAGTGCACTCATGCTGTCTTGTAAGTGAATGTTTCCTCAATCAAAAAGTGGTTTCGTTGCATTTCTATATGTCACTTGGAACATGATGGTCAAACTTGTGCCTTTAAAAAAAATCTGGTAAGGACCTATACTAAAAAAGTAAGCACTTCCTATTCTGCGTATTCAGTAGCAGTATTTATATTCTCCAGTGAACAAAGGTAATTCTTGGCTCCTGCTGAAAGCAGAACTGAGAGTTGTCAGTGAATGGTAACACATATACTGCTTTTGGCGAGATGCCTTTCATCTGCAGGAACAGTTGTAAGGGCTGCTCCAGCCAAGGAAAGAGCATCCAGTCTCAAAGTAATTGGCTGCTTTCCTGGAATTGCCAAAGGAGCCAGCTGAGCTTCCAGTACCTTTTGCTAGAAGTAAAACTTGGAGATCTATAAAATTTTGGTGTGGTAAAGTTGGGGTCCCTGGGAATTCTTTTAGTCCATTCATGTTGATATGTAATACTTAAATCTTGGAAGATAGCAGCATCTACTTTCTTTAACAGTGGTAATTCTCATTCACTAAAGAGACACTGCTTTGCTTCTCCTTTCTTTGGCCAGGTACGCATCTCTGTGGAAAGGATGCCTGACACTTTACACAGGACGAGGAGGCGAGCTGCATAAAATTGGGGAGTAAGTATTGCGTGTTCTCCTTTCTGGCCAGGTACGCATCTCTGTGGAAAGGATGCCTGACACTTTACACAGGACGAGGAGGCGAGCTGCATAAAATTGGGGAGTAAGTATTGCGTGTTATACTTGCGGTGTTATGTCCTGTTCTCAGCAGAGCGTCATGGTAAAGACAAGACATGGTGGCTCTTAGTAAATGGAAGCTAGGGCAGCAAAAGCCTGTTGATTGGTCATGGATAGGTACAGTACAGGCAACTGTGGTGTGAGGTTTTTACATGCTGTTGTGGTAATGAGCTCTGACCCTCTCTGGATTCTAGGTATATTGAGGAAAATCGTCCTCCATCATGGCACAGGTCTGGGTTTTACCTAGAAGGGGGGGGAATTGTATAAATGACAAGGGACTTCATCTGCATTGCTTCCTTAGGCCTCAGCTTGAATAACCACTTTATTTTGGTGGAAGCCTTGTGTATGTGTGTCATGCTTTAGAGACAAGCAGTGCCAGGAAGGAAGACAGAGGTAACTCCAGTGAATCATATCTAAACAGAAGCAAGCCTCTTTAAACCTTCTTTAAACTGCCCACAAACTGAGGCGGCAACTCCTCCTGACTAAGAACAAACATGAGTAACATACTTGACAAGCAACAGGAAAAATAGCAACATTTTCTAACCGGAAGAGTGCTTCTGCTGTTGCACAAAGTGCCGTGTGAGGTCTTGTAGTCATCAGGGAAGTGGGGCTGCGGGTTGGCCACCTCTTTTCTCGGATGGTCCAAAAATGCCCAGTGCTCAGCTGGATTTTGTGAGGGATGACCTGCAGGTTTTCTTTGGTGCAAAGCCATTGCCTCAGAAGTGTCATCCTGTGGGCTTACTGGCTGGAGTGAGGCGAGTCCTCATCTGGGTTGTGCCTCCCAGCAGGAGGTGGGAGCTCCACTTCTGCTTAACCAGTCCAAGCTGCGTAATCATCCAACTCTTTCTTTCCCTTTGCCATAACTTCCCTGTGGTGAGTTGGGGGGCCTATTCCTCCATAGTTCCCTTGAGTGGAAAAGGATGCTTTAAATTTCACTCCCTGTTTTGGACTCTGCTGTGCTACTATGTTAATGGGGCACTCCATAGCATGGGAGTGTGTGGGAGTGTTTAAGTTTTCCCTAGAGATCTAATGCAGTCACAGTCTGGGAGCAGGCTGGGTGACTCTGTGTCTCAGGTGACCTTGTGAGTGGGTGCTGGACAAGATTGTGCAGCTGGAAGAGAGGTGAAGGGAGCCCTTTCATCACCTTTTGTTTTCTTAAGGCCATTTTACCTCCTAGAGTAAACGTGTACTTGCCTCTGCTTGACTGAAACACCCTCACCAGGAAGATATGACAGCTTCGCCGCAAGCCTATAAAGGGATCAAAGAGCCTTTTAATACCTATGGATACTCTCTGAACAGTGGGGTTTGGGTTAGTTACTTCTAGGTGGTGGGATATGTCAAGAACATACGCTCTTTGAGTTGTGGAGTTGAGAACTCTGTTAAAAAATGGCTTTAGAATTTCCTCATAATCCTAATTTCTCCCCAGGTTCTGCATGGTATACTCAGAAGTGCCAAACTTCAGTGAGCCCAACTCGGAACACGTCGGGCAGAACAAACTGGTATGTTAAACTTGTCTGAGGCTTTTGGCATAAAGTGCTCTTTGTTCTGAATATTTCACACTAGGCTGTGATCAGATGTGACTCTTCTGGAAAAATAGACTTGAAGTGATATATAGACAAAAATGAGCCAATAATTAGAGTAGCAGATAAATTCCATGTGGAGCCACTATAAGAACACAGGAAAAAATCAGCCCTTTTCTGTAAAAATGTGAAATTTCTCTCTGATCCATGTCTCTTTTTTTTTTTTTACATTTCTCTGAAGGCACAGGGTGAACAGAATAATAGTTCTGCATCAAGTAATATGGGTTCTTGTACTTTCGGGCCACTGGGTAAGTTTTTTCATTTTGTGAAAGTGAAGGGATGAGAAACACTTAATGGGAATAAAAAGAAATTTATCTTGCTGAGGGTTCTCCACTCTGGGGCAAAAGTGTACTATGCTTTAAAAAGTCTTTTAGACTGGGGCCTGAACCTGCAAGCACGTAAGCATGAACATTTCCTGAATAATGGTTTCGGGATTTCTTCCCTAGCAGAGGAAGAGATCAGAATATTCAAGGTTCCTGTATCATGTAAAAGGACTTGACTAGTCCTAAATTGTTTTGATGCTTTCAAAGAGCTTTTGCAGCACTTGAAATTCTGTTTTGAAACCACTCGAGATGTTGGCTTTAAAAATGACTTGCTTTAATCTTGCCAGTCACCTTGGCTTTCCTGCCAGGTTAGCTCCCCAAAACAGAAGTGGTAGTAATCTGAATTCCAATATTTCACCTGGCTGGATCATTTTGTGATGTATTTAAACATTGAATCTTAAATAAGAAAATGCTTCAAGACTTGAGTGGGTGTAAGCTGAGAGGGAACCTCAGTTGTGGCCTGCCTACATGATGCCCAGACTCGGTACCTGGTGTTGTACAGCTAAGCTCTGCTGGTGGATGACAGCAAACTGATTCATAACTTGCTGTTAAAAAGCTTTGTCACTTCAATTCAGTGACTGTCTGCTTCCTCTTTAGTAACATGATTTTCATTTCTCTTATTTTACTTCTCTTACGAGCCCTTTCTGTTCCTTTGAAAATAAATGATTCTGAGCAAAGAAGGGCAGTGCTTTCAGGCCAGTCTTTCCTCAGTGCCAGGGTGAGGCGAGTAGGCTTTCAGCACAATTAGTGTGTAGGTACTTCCTTGGTGTCCCTGCTTTGGCTGTTTTCACTGCACTTGTGCATGTCTTCTGAAGCCTCTTTTTTTCTCTTCCTGCTTCTTATGTGGTCTTTAAATGCAATGATTTCCTTTTGTCTCTTCCTTCTCTCCCTGTGCTTCTGTCATCATTCTGCCTTTTCAGCTCTGTCCCTCTTCCTACTAGCAAAACATGAGCAGTGATGCTTGTGAGGCTGAGGTTCATGAGAACTCGGTGCTAGCTGAGTTGCTTCTGTGGCTGGACTTCACAAGGCAGCTTTCTATTTCTGTGTGCCTGGTAGTGAGGAATGACGCAAGGAACTTTGTGTAGCCTGCTTTTCTTTTGCTGGTTTCTCCTTGACTTCTGCTGCCCTGTTGTCTCTCTGGAACATCTTGGTGTGTGACCTACAAGCCAGTGCATGTTTCTGAAAGCACCAGTCTAGTTTCATGAGACTCCAGTCTCTTGGGCAAAGAATCAGCATGCAACTCTGTGACTCTTCTTGCTTTAGCTGAGAGCGGGTGGTAGGGATGGAGGGGAGGTAGTTTGGGAAGGGGAAAAAAAGGTAAGCTGTGGTTTAGGGTCTTGCAGTGCCCGAGGGGCTTTTCCTTCTGGTGCTCAGGGTTTGCTGGTTGCCGTAAACTCCATGCGTTCCCTGTTGCTAAAGTTATGTAAGGGAGCAGTGATTTCAGTCCATGGAACTCGTGATAACCTTTTTTCTGTCTTTTTAGGAAATGGTTTACAAACTGGACCTGAATCAAGTGGATTTCCGTTTATGTATAATCATGGCCACACTTATGCAGGTAGTGGGAGAGGCAATGGACGAGGACCTGTAAATCCAGCACCAGCTAATAGTGTTCAGCCTCTTCTCCCTGCTGTCAGTAATGGGAGGGACCCACGCAGAGCCTTTAAAAGATGACTATGCCAAATGTGGTTGTACAGCTTGCTTAAACTCTACACTCTACTTGAACACTTATTGCACTTTTATTTATAGTTAACTGTGAACCAGTTTGTCCTTTATTGTTTTTTTTACCTTTTGGTCTATGAAGCGAACTTGATGTGATCTATTTCTTGTTTTGCTTAGGGAAGCACAGTGAGTCTTCCCCATAAATTAAGGGGGTAGGGGGAGAAGGTGGGTATAAGAAAGTAAGGGTAACGGTTGAAGAGTCTCAATTAAAACTCGGTACCCTTTGCTAAATGGAAGAAAATTTCAGTTACATGTATGTATCTTTCTGTTTCTGTTGGTCAGCCATATAGCCTTAAAAGGTCTATTATGTCCTGTGTGCACATACGTTGACTTCCATTAGGGTTAATGGGAGTTCTTCGTATTGGAAGAGAAATGAGGGGGAAGAGCAAAGATGCTCCAGTGAACTAGGTGTCCTTGGAAAGAATACAGCTTGTAAAAGCAATAAGTATAAGGAAATGGTGGTGCCAGCACCTAGTGGTGTCTCCTAAATTAAAGAATGGATAACTCAGATGAAAGCTGAAAACATGGTGAGTGTCTTGAAGCTTGACTTCTGATTCCGAAAAGGTGTATGCTACTTAAAAGAAAAATTCTCCATAAACACCATTATCACTGTCAAGGAAAGTGACACTGATTTTATTGCTTTGGATAGAAGCTTGGATATTCATTCTTGCTTTGCATGAAATAGCAGGAGAGGAGGATCTAAATTCAGACAGCATTGGAGAATGCGCTGTTTGTAGCCACTGCTGGTGTAAAAGCCCAAGGTTACTTTGCAGGAGTCTGAATTTCCGGGAAAGAACTGTTTTCAAATGCTGCATTACCTGTCTCTTTGAGGCTGCCTACTTCTCCTTCCTTCATTCACTTTTCCAAATGAATTATGTATTAGATGAAGCTGTATGTGTGGATTGCAGAGCTACTGGCCAAGCACGCAGCTGCACTTCTGATGCTGTTAAGCTGCTAAGCTTTCCTTCCTCTGTTTTATGAGATACGAATTATCCCTTAAAGAACTTAACCCCACCACCACCATCTCCTGGGGAAAATAGCTGTGGTTTTGTTTCTGAGATCACAAATGCCTTGACTCTAGATAAGAGTCCAGTGCCATATTTCAGATCAGGTTCAAAAACAGCTTGGAAGCTGAGGTGTCATACTGGATTCATCTGTTTAACTCTTCTTATAGCTGACCTCTCAAATAAAAAATTGCACTAACCATTTCAAAAACAAATCTAACTTTCTTTCTGTCAAGCCATAAAGACTTCATGACAAAAGGCTATTTCTGAATTGTGAGTTGTCTCTGTGGTCATTCGTGTGAATTGAATCTGCTACTATGTCACTAATGTTTACAAGTTGCTTACATTTGATACTTCTGCTTTTGGTACTCTATCATGATGATTCGTTGAAAATTGCTTCTAATTGGCAAAGGTTCCTTGCTTGGTCTGAAATACTGAACTTTCTTTTAAATGTAATCAGCAGCAGCAACAAACTTCTGAAGGGAGGTTTAGAGAGACAGACGCCTGAGGGCTGTTTGCCTCTGGTCTGGTAAAGTGCTATCCTGATACCTGCTTCCAGGTGGAACTAGTGAAACTTGTCTTGGACACAAGAGGGTGGCATGCCTCATGAGATCACCCAAGGATGCTATTGGGGAAGAACAGTGCTAATCGGTAAACCAGAAAGCATGTGATGACTTCTGGGGAAGTGGTGTAAGGAGGTGATGTGTAACTCAGGGACTTTAAATTGCCTACTTGTTTTAAAAAGTCATGTATAGTCTAGATGCATGGACAACCTCTTATGCAGTGTTGCATTAAGACATTTGATATGCTTGTGAGAAGGAAGCCAAGAGGACTTCTAAACCTGTGAAGTATATATGACATGTTCCAGAGGTAAATGAGATGTAAGTATGGTGCGAGAGCTGTGCTTTCCAGTAGTAGCTGTAAAGGTAGCAAGTGAACATGGTGGGGACTTGATACTCATTGGGGTATCTCCACTATGGATCTCAAATCCTGGTGGTCTTGGCTTCTCTGCAGCATAAAGAAGGTTGAAATAGTGGGGAACCCTGTGTTAGTGTGTGCTGAGGTGCCTGATGTTTGTAGCTCTATGCATGTGAGCTTTTATTAAGCTAATAAACAGAATACTTGTTCACAAATTCCAAATAAAAAGTGAGATGATTACTGCTGCTAAGTGGCATAAGATTAAAAGCTTGCTGTCAAGTGGATGATTGATTTGCAGTTGGGAGGAAAAAAGCAAGAGGCTGGTCTTCATGTTTTCAAGGTTAGTAGCATTCCTGCCTCCCTGTTTCTTATGTGAAACTATTTCAGTTTATTAACAAACTTTTACTTCTTTGCAGGGGAAATCTCTGCCCTGAAAAGTCACGTGGACTTGACTTAAAGTAAATATAATCATAGTAACTTTTCAAGGTCTTCTGATCTTCCAGTGAACCTAACACAAGAAAGTTGTTTCCCTCAGAGGTATCAGTGTCAAGATAGTGAGTTCTCAGCTTGCAGAGGAATCTGGGAACCTGCCGCACATCTGTTTGGATCATATCACCTCGGTGTACAGAGAGACAGATGTATTTCTCCATGTAAACAAGCAGTTGTCATGAATTACTCTGACACTATAAGGCAGTTCATGGGTGCCCAGTGGTTAGGTCATTAGGGAGTCTCTTTACAGATGTCTTCCCAAGATATTAAAGGTAAGGCTGCAGTTAGGGTAATCTCATTCTAGATAATACAGATTCCCAAAGGAAAAAAACCTGGAAGGTGTTCATGTGTCTGGACACAAACTGCACAGTGCTGAAGTGCAATTGAGTAATCCCAATACAGTCACAAGATGCCCAGCTCTCATCACCCCACAACAGCTCATCTCCTCTTACCTGCCCTAACAAAAGGACTGATGGCAGACTGCAGCAACGTGGCAGTGGAGAGAGTTTTGCTGTATGTCTGCTGCAGTCCTCCATGTGTTCCTTCTGTCCACCCTCAGCAAGAATCTTTCCCATTGATCCTGAAAGTGGAAAAGCACTCCTGTACTGTGAAACACTGTCCTAACCTTGGATGCGTGGTAAGAGTCATGCACTCCACATCCACAGTGAAAATGGGATGATTCTGTGAGAACAAATATAAATGCTGGACCAAGGCATGCGATAGATAATCACTGCTTTCACAACTCAATTAATTAGCTTTACCCTTAACTTAAAGCTGGCAGGTTGCAGTCCTGTGCACTCCAATAATGCCGCTCTTCAGCATCACACAAGTTCCAGTAAAGCTATTTGCAGCTAGTGCTGCTTGCGCAAAGCTGCTGCGGGCTGTATGAAATGTTTTTCCCATGTCAGTGCAGTCTGTACAGATGACACCCTTAGCAGCATTACAGGGATGTCAGCCGTGTTCTGTTAGTGCATGCATTTCTCTGGACCCAGGGGAGTGTTTAGTAGAAAAATGCTGTTCCCTGCAGCCTGTTGGGGCCTTAAATTTTTCACGGATGTTAATGCTTGTGTTTTGCTAATGACCTGGCTGTGCTATGGTCATCCTCTGCAGCCCATGTCCATACCCCCAAAACAGGATCCTTTCCTGTTCTATAAGGCAGTTTTGATCAGCAGCTCCCCAAGTGCTTTGTTAGGACTAGGAATCAGTAAAAGCGATGGGGTTTTGAGTGTTTCTGAGGGAGTTTCCTGGGCTGCTTTGTGGCCCGTGGGTTCTCAGCTGCCAGGTTGTTCCCCTGCTTCTCTCAAATATGCATAGATGTGCCCTTTCGGACATACTGTTTATGTTGCCAAGCAACTCTTTGCACTGCCTAGCGCGGTCTCTGGCAGTGCTTTTGAGAGGTGTCCAGGGAGGTGCACTGCTTTCTCCCTGCAGCTCTTGCAAGTGGCTAGCTCTTGAGCGAGAGTTGGTTGATTTTGGGAGTTTCCCCTTAGTCCAGCACCAGCACATGTTACCGAGAAGGTTGCAGGGCTGTGACTCCCCGTCCCGGCTCTGTTAACGATTGCAGAAGAGCTAACGAATGCTGTGCCTGAGCCAGACGCTCCCCCTGCTGTGCGATGCTGCGGGGTGAGCCTGGGCCCTCGCTGCCGGGGAGCACGGGTGTCCCAGGGAACCCCTGGCCAGCCAGGGCTGGATGCCCTGCTTGGGGTGGCCTGGAGCATCCTCCAAGGGTGGGTTCTTAGTGGGTTCTCCAGCAATCCCAGCTCCACCGCTGCGGGTGGAGCGAGGGACACGGCGATGCCGTCTGAGGCTGTTGCGGGGCCGTGTGTGGGTGCCGGAGGTGCTGGTCCCTGCAAGGCCTCTGCTCTGGGCTGCTGCGTTCGCTTGGCCATTTGCAGGGGCTTGTGGCCCCTACCAGAGCAGGAGCTCCAGGTGCTGTGTTTGGGGAGCTCAGAGGGGCTCTGCCTGCCTCAGTGGCTTGGTGGTACTTCAGCCACTGCTGGTAATGCTCAATGTCCCCAGTGCCTGCTCTATTTTATGTGTGGGGACGTGGTTGCTTAGGACCACAGAAACACCCAGCCCTTACAGGGCTGGGTGCCAGGCTGATTTAACAGCCTCTTTGCTGGGGTGCTTTTGTTTGCTTCTGCATAATTAGGGAGATTGGAGCTGGCTGAAGGCGGGAACCACTCATGGGGACATGGCTCCCATTAAAACAAAACAAAAAAAAAAGCTGTTGTGTTCCCATTGGAAGGCACATACCAAACCAGGGGCAATTGCCTGAAAACTGAGGTTGAAGTTTTCAGCAAAGCCCTTCAGGAATTCATTCAGAAATGCACTTTCTGACTTCAGCCTTAATCATGCTACTAATTCCTTTATTCTTGATTCCACAGAATTTGAAATTGCTATGGCTCTTTATAAGGATTATGCTTTTTAATCTATTCTGTGATGGACATTTGTATGTGTGTGTGTATATAACATGTATAAACATACACAGCGTCTTGTAATTGGGATGGAAAAAATTAATCCTAAACAAGCTGTTGACTAAACTACAGAGGATGGAGTTCAAAGGGATTAGAAAAAAGTTTGGAAGTGACTAAGGGGAACACTTAAGGACTTCATTTAGCTTTTTAATTTCTCTAAATTGCGGCTGATTTTTCTCAGGAAGAAAACAATGCAGTTATAAGAGCTTCATCTAAAACTGCCTTCCTACCCTCCCAGCTGATAAAGACAGTCCGGATTTGTATGTTCCCTAGGGAGCAAGATTAGGGAAGGAGTAAAATATCAGGATTTAGCTCAGAAAAGAGAATTCTTCTGCTGTAAATGTACCT